ATGTTTTTGGTTGAACCTGTTTTGTTCATGATCTCACTCCTGGTAAGGATAAGTTAACATCCAAAGCCTTTAAATGCATTTTTCTTGGTTATTCTCGTCTTCAAAAGGGTTATCGCTGTTACTCTCCTGACCTCAAGCATTACTTAGTTTCCGCGGATGTCACCTTTTTTGATCAACAACCCTTTAATTCTATCCCATCTCCATTGTCACAGGTTGATCATGTTCTTCCTGTTCCTTTTCTTGACTTGTCTTTGCCAGATGCATGTGCTTCTACTCCAGATAAGCCATCACCTATTGCTCCAGTACCTAAGGACCGTCCACTTCTCACTTATCAGCGTCGTAAGACAGTACCTCCAGTCGACTCGACCCCTGCTTACTCATTGCCCTCTGCAGTTGATTCTTCCCCTCCGGATCCTTCACCAGAGGCTCTTCCCATTGCTCAAAGAAAAGGTACACGTACTACTCGTAACCCTTATCCTCTTTATACCTTCTTGAGCTATGATCTCCTTTCTCCTCCTCATTTCACCTTTGTTTCTAGTCTTTCTTCTGTTTCTATTCCTAAGACCACAGGTGAAGCACTTTCCTATCCAGGATGGCGCCAAGCGATGCTTGATGAGATGACCGCACTTCATACCAATGGCACTTGGGACCTTGTTTCTGCTCCTCCAGAGAAGTCTATAGTTGGTTGTCGCTGGGTGTTTACTGTGAAAGTTGGACCTGATGGCCATGTTGATCGTCTCAAGGCACGCCTAGTTGCCAAGGGTTTTACTCAAATCTTTGGCCTTGATTATAGCGATACATTCTCTCCAGTCGCTAAGATGGCGTCCGTCCGCCTATTTCTTGCCCTTGCTGCTGTTCGTCACTGGCCACTCCTTCAACTTGACATCAAAAATGTCTTTCTTCATGGTGATTTACAAGAAGAAGTTTACATGGAGCAACCACCTGGTTTTGTTGCTCAGGGGGAGTCTGGGAAGGTATGTCGTCTTCGAAAATCCTTATATGGTCTCAAGCAGTCTCCTCGAGCATGGTTCAGTCGCTTCAGTTCTGCTGTACAGGCGTTTGGCCTAATTCGCAGTAAAGTTGACCATTCTGTATTCTATAGGATTACATCTCCTAACAAGTGCATCTATTTGTTAGTCTATGTTGATGACATCATCCTCACCGGAAGTGATCAAGACGGAATCCATCAGTTAAAACAACATTTATTCAGTGCATTTCAAACAAAGGACCTTGGGAAGCTGCGTTACTTCTTGGGAATTGAGGTGGCGCAATCTAGACAGGGCATTTCTATCTGTCAAAGGAAGTATTTGGATATCCTAGAGGAGACTGGTATGTTGGGGTGTAAACCAGTTGATACACCAATGGATCCTAATGTTAAGTTATTGCCCAGACAGGGGGAGCCGTTATCTGATCCTGGACGTTATCGAAGGCTGATTGGGAAGCTCAATTATCTTACTGTGACTAGGCCAGATATTTCTTTCGCTGTCAGTACGGCCAGTCAGTTCCTTGATTCCCCTTGTGATTCACATTGGGATGCTGCTGTGAGGATCCTCCGATACATCAAAGGAGCACCAGGAAAAGGTTTGTTGTATTCGGATCAGGGAAATACAGAAATTTGTGGTTACTCAGATGCCGATTGGGCAGGATCACCCTCGGACAGACGCTCTACTTCTGGTTATTGTGTCTTCTTCGGAGGAAACTTAATCTCATGGAAAAGCAAGAAACAACCTGTTGTTTCCCGATCTAGTGCAGAAGCTGAGTATCGTGCAATGACAAATACTACCTGTGAGTTGATCTGGTTAAAGCAGTTGATTCAGGAGCTTCATCTTTGTGAACAGAAACAACCCATGACACTCATCTGTGATAATCAAGCTGCGCTACATATATCCTCTAATCCTGTTTTTCATGAGAGGACCAAACATATAGAGATTGATTGTCACTTCATTCGGGAAAAGATTCAGTCAGGAGAAATCAAGACAGCTTTTGTCAACTCATCTAATCAACTAGCAGATGTTTTCACTAAAGCTCTTAGAGGTCCTCGGGTTGAATACATTTGTAACAAGCTTGGTGCTCATAATATATACGCACCAGCTTGAGGGGGAGTGTTAGAATATTAGATATGATATGATTAGATTTGATTAGATATGATTGGATTCTGTCTTATCCGTAAATAGTCTGACTGTATTCTGACTGTATTAGGATTAGGTTTGGATTAGGTTTGGGCCTTACACTTAAGCCCATTAGGGTCTCTATATATTGTAACTCCCTGACACAGATCAATACACAACGTATTCTTTTACATTTAACTAATTGAATACAATACATTCATACATTCTAATTATTTAGATTGTGGGTTACCCACTTTTGGTGTTCATGGGACAATTCCGACGCTGTCCAACCAACAGTTCTCTTCGCATTTAGTCAAGATAATGTGAGTTATTACAATGGGGGACAATTCTGCTATGTTCACCAATATCAATGTCCTTTCCACCACGACACCGATTGATTGAATCAGCCGAGTTCCAATTAGAATAAACCGCTAATTTTGCTCAAACCGAGACAACATTATCATCTACTTCTACTGTGACCATTCCCTATGCAGAATAGGAGGTCTTCCTTTGCTTTAAGGCATCCTCACAAGTCACAACCCTCTGTTGTGCAAATTGGTAAACTTATTGCTTGCATTTCTCAATCATCTCTTGAACCATGAATAATTGAATCCGGTGCTTATCATAATCTTGACAGCAATAAGAATCTTCACTCTTATCTTACCTACTCTGATAACTTGCCTTCATTTATTCTTGCTAATGGCATGAAAATAATTCTTTGTGGCATTGGACTAGCACAACCACGTCCCTTTTCTCTTGTTCATTTGTCTATTCCGATATATTGAGTTTGAGTTTGACTTGAGTTAGTTCTAGTTAAGGGCTCAAATATTGTCACTATTATAAATGACTATTATCATTGCATTTGGGTCTTTTTAATGAAATGTCATTCTCAATTATTTTCAATTTTTCAGAAGTTATGTGCACACCAATCGCAGGAATTTATGTCTTGACAGGGTGTCTTGCATCCAATTACCTTTCCTCATATTCAACAACAAAACAGAGTATCTGAACACAAGAACTGACATTTAGTTGAAATTGTCAGGACCCTACTCCTACATATGTTCAGGTTGGGGGATGTTGTTCTTACCTTATGCTATATAATAAACCACATGCCCTCCTTTGTCCACCAAAGATATTCTAACACTAAACAATTTGAATAAAAAATCACTTCCCATTAAACTCCGACTAACGAGGATGGGGTAAGGATAATCCTTGTAAGCAACCTTATTTTTGCTTAATTGCAAAGAGGATTTTTTTTGCAAAGATGATGTTTCCTAGATTTGAACTCGCAACTTTTCAGTCACAAAGGAACAACTTCACCGCTGCTCCAGATTCACCCTCTTAGAAAGGGTCTAAATAATTGATATTATTATAATATAAAATAAGATATGTTTAACCACTAAAGTAATATACCTATTTGTGGAAAACTGAGCCATTGCAGTAAATGGAGATTGTCACGGAACCAATTCAACTTAGCTTAAGCTGAGGTGGAGACAAATTGAAACTTCTATATTTTTGTTCTAATTCTAACGTCTCCTCATACAAGAACTCATTGGCATAAACCACCTACATGAACTACGAAACTTCGGAATATTTATTAAAAGAATGGAAGTGTCAAGGATTGAACTCTAGATTCGCAGAGACTCTAATACCATATCAAAAAATCAATTCAACTTAAAAGATTAAGCTGTTATGTAAAGGTAAATGAATGATTTTATATTTTTATATTATATTTTTCAATGAAATATTGGAAATAGCAGCTTCAAATGTATAGTCGATGCACAAGGAATTAAAATAACATTAGAAACAAACAGCTTTTAATGTATAGTGGGAGTACTAGGAATTAAAGTTGCATTGGGAACAAACAACTAGGAAGTAGATAGCTCTTTTAAATATCGAGTAATTATTACCACTTTGTGTGCAATTCACTCCAGCAAACAACCAAAAAAAATAAAAAAAATCCAAATCTTCTATTTCTTCACACTATTTATACTAATAATCTACGTCAAGTACTAGCATAATACAACTAGTAAAAGCAAAGCCCAAGAAAAACTACTTAAATAACAAGACTGGTAAAAAAATACGAATCCTGATATTCTAATATACTTAAATTTTCTTCTGATTCTCTGAATGCCAGCCAACAAAATCAATACAAAGAACATGTATAGGCTGATAATTTTAATCCCCCAATTCCTACTCTTTACTTTTTCAAGACGACTTGATGCCAACTCAGCCTAAGGGTTATATGAGACAAAATTACCCACGGCAGGGTTCAATTTGAATACCTTGACATTAAGGAAGAGTCAATAGACTATATTCACTGAAGCATATAGAAATGTCCATCACTGTTGCGAAATGAAGAGGACATCCTCATTTCAGAAATCTTTCACTTGGAGATCTAACTCTAAAACATTACAATCCTTTTTCCCATGTTAGATACAAAACTATTCATGCACTTTCACCCAATGGCATATGATATTATAATAGTTGTTTCATGACATGGCATCAAATTATCTACAACCATCTGATCTAGAATTCAATCCTTGTTTTGCTACCCCATTAAGTTTCAACACAAAGTCGAATCAGCTTGTCCATTGTATATCCTTCAAGCCTAGAGGGCTCTTGTGTAAGGAGGCATATTTGATATAAAACCATTTATGTGCCTTAACCCAACAACATATGCTTCTAGGATAGTTGCTTCTTGACATCCCATAAGCTAGAACCTCCTAAAGGGAAAGGGAGAACCTCGATACACAAGGCTCCTCGACTTGCGAGAGTAGAGATGACCCAGCTATGTATAGAATTTTCATTCAGAGCTTCATAACGAAAGAAGACAACAAAAAAAGGAATACTCTTATCCACATTAAATAGAACTGTTAAAGGGAAACTTACCTCCTCACCAAAAGCATCCAAGTAAGGAGAAGGCCAGGGGGCCTGACGTGCAGATCTCTGGAGTAGGATTGTAGTTCTCTGTCAGTACAAACACAACTCATTATTCCCTTGGTGTCTGAGCAAATAAGTACCTAATTAACTAATAAATAACAAGAAAGAGGGGCAGGACAAGATAGCTCAAAAGGGAGATCCAACGGCAAAGAAAAATAAACCAAAAAAGAGCAAGAAAACCTAAGCCAACGAGTGATTCAAAACTTAAGTTCGAGAAAGAGCAAGATACCCTAATCAACAGAAACACTCCAGTACCAGCTCCACAGGTTCCAGAATGAGTTTGACATCCACTTTTACTGAAAATAAAATACAGGAAATCATTTCAAATTAGCATCAATAAACAAATACATGAGAAGTATAAATGAATCAAGGTCAACTGAAATTTTCTATTCCAAAATAGGCCTTAAAAAAAATAAAAATATAACCACTGAGACATATCTGAACAAGACTACAAATGCTGTGCACCAGTTAACCTCCTAATTTGACTGTTATGTAACAAATATGTAAAAATCACCAGACTACATCTTGTAATGGAAGTAACATCAAGCTGCATGATGACTCAGTTCTCAAAAATCCATTTACATTAGAGCAAATTCCTTACTATTTGAACCCACATAAACAAGTCATTAGCAGAGACTAGATATAAAGAATAATCCCAACAAAGCCAAAGTAACAGAAATGAACACGAAGATATGAGAGAGAGAGAGAGAGAGAGAGAAGCCATTGAAAAGCTTTGAGAATTTCTGAAGATATTATTCAAGTAACAAACAGATGCGCAGAGAACTCTATTTATAGAGCTAGGAGCTGACTCAGCAATGAGGCAGTGTAATGATTTATACATAACAAACTAACCATAAGAGAACTAATCAGGTGTTGCACACACCATGATCAAACGAATACACAACAACAAAGCTAACTACCAGTAACAATAATACAGGAAGTAAACTAACTACAAAGCATTTATATGCTAATATGCCCCCTCAAACTCAGGAGTTGTGGAGTTGGAAAACATCCAAAACTGAGTTTGGTCCTGAGTTCAGCAAATCTGGGAGCAAAAAAAGGCTTTGTTAGGGTGTCAGCTAGCTGTTATGAAGCAGGAACATGAGAGACAAGAAGATCTTTAGATAACACTCGTTCTCTTACAAAGAAGAAATCCAGCTCCATGTGCTTAGTCCTGGAATGCAGAACCGGGTTATGAGATAGAGCAACATTGCTGAGATTGTCACAATAAACCAGAGGAGTAGCCAAGGGAACATAAAGTTCACGAAGGAGAGACTGAATCCACAAAATTTCTGCAGAAGTAATGGCCAAGCTCCTGTATTCAGCCTTTGTACTAGATCTGACCTCCAAAATCTGCTTTTTGGACCACCAAGATACCAAGTTAGGACCAAGGAAGAGACAGGCACATGATGTAGACCTGCGATCATTTGGATCACTAGCTCAATTTGCATCACAAAAGGCTGTTAGAGAGAGAGGACAATGTGTAGAACTAATGAAACAGTCCCATTAAGATACGTTAGAATGCGTTTAACAACATTCCAATGATCAAGCAAGGGTTGAGACAAGAACTGGCAAACCTTGGTCACAACAAAGCTGATTTCTAGACGCGTAATTGTTGCATATTGCGATGCACCCACAATGGACCTGTAATGGTAAGGATTATCAAAGTAATTGGAGCCATGCTTTGTCAACTTGCAACTAGTAGCCATAGGTGAGGCAATTCTTTTAGCATCTGTCATATTTGCTCTAGCCAAGAGATCCCAAATGTATTTGGATTGAGACAGAGAAACAAAACCAGTAGGATGCTTCTTGACTTCTATGCCCAAGAAGTAGTCTAAGTGACCAAGATCTTTACGAGCAAATTTTGAGTTCAAAGCAGTGATCAGATTTTGAATAAAAGGAGCATCATTTCCTGTGACAATGATGTCATCAACATATACTAAGACATTTATACATCTGTTATCACGATGAAAAACGAAAAGAGATGGGTCACAGCTGCTGGACCGAAAACCAAGAAGAACCAAGGCCTGTTTTAACTTGTCAAACCAAGCTCTAGGAGCTTGTTTAAGGCCATATAGAGCCTTAGTCAGCTTGCACATAAGTGTTTTATCAGGAGCTTCAAATCCTGGAGGCTGCTGCATGTATACATCTTCAATTAAGTCCTATTGAGAAAGGCAGCATTGACATCTAATTGCCTTAATGGCCAGCCAAATGTAAGGGCAAGAGTAAGCATAACCCTCACTGTTACTGGTCGAACAACAGGGGAAAAGGTTTCTCTATAATCAAAACCTTGTTGATAAACCCCTTAGCAACAAGTCGAGACTTATACTTGTTGATGGTCCCATCAGGATTCTCCTTCACTAAAACACCCATTTTCACCCTATAGCCTTCCTGTTAGATGGAAGAGGCACAAGAGTCCAATTTTGGTTAGTTTGAAAAGCATGAAATTCTGCTTTCATAAGGATTGGCCAAGGCTTGTTTGACAGTCGAAGGTTCCATGTGTGTGAGGAGAGCAAGAGATCTAGCAAGGGTTTTGGATCTTGTGGTAATAGAATGAGAAGGAGAGGGAGGAGTAAGACTAGTAGAAGGCTGATATTCAGAAGGAGATGAGGACAAAGAAGATGATGAGTAGGAGGACGGACCTGAAGTGGAAAAGCTGACCTGAACTGAAGATGATGATGCACTGGACATGATAGGAGCAGAAGCTGATATTGAGGGAGAATTAGACATAACAGGTGCATCATGTAAGGAGCTATCAGCTTGTTCTTCAATACCATGAGCAGTGTGAATATTCTGATATGAGATATAGCTGGTTGCATTAGTATTAGGAAAGGAAAATGCTTGGTGAAGGTTGTATTTTGGGAAAACAGCAAAAGGAAGAGAGAAAGTGGTTGGAGAGGAGCTTAATGGTTCGGATTTATTATTCCATAAAGGATATGGGAACCTGTTTTCATTGAATAATACATCCTTTGAGATATATACACGTCCATGAGGGTTTTGACACAAGTATCCTTTGTGATTTGTAGCATAGCCAATGAATATACAATCTTGTGATCTGAATTCCAGCTTGTGTTTATTGTAAGGCCTAAGGAAGGGAAAACAAGCACAGCCAAAATTTTAAGGAATTTATAATCTGGTGTAGTGTGGAACAACTTGGTGCAGGGAACTTGAAATTCTAAGAAAGTTGTTGGTAATCTATTAATAAGTGTTGTAAATAATTGTATTTGTTTATTTCTTTATTTATTTATTTCCATTCTAGAATCTTCTTTGGGCTTAGCCCATTAGGCTATTTAGTCTCTTTAATTAGAGAGCAATTGTACAGATGTAATATACAATTTTATCAATAAGATTATCTTCCTTGGTTATGCACCTGATAAAAAAGGCTACAAGTGTTATCATCCTGCTAGTCGGAAGTTCTTTGTCTCAATGGAAGTCACATTTCATGAATCTGAATCCTTTTTCCCAAGTCTTCATCTTCAGGGGAAGAGCAGTTCTTCAATAGATTCATCACCTTCTATCTTTGAGTATGAACTTTCCATGTCTTCTCCTACACCTCTTCCTCTTGTTTCTGATTCTTTTGTGTTTGACCCATCTGATACACTGGAAATACGGAGGATTGTGACACCTGAGTTGGTATATCACAGGAGAAAGCAGCCTACACTGCTTCACCAGCAACCTCAATCGTCTGAACCACTGGTAAGTCCTGAATCTCTTGTTTCTGATCCTAATATTATTACTTCTCCTGTTTCTGAACCTAATATTGTTCCCTCTAATGATTTACCTGTTGCTTCTGATAGCTTACCCAGTACCTCTAACGACTTACCTATTATTTCCTTAAGAAAAGGGAAAAGATCTCGTACCCAACACCCTATCTCTCATTTTGTCTTTTCTCCTAACCTTTTTGTGCAGCACAAAAGCTTAATTTCAGCACTAGATTCTATCTCAATCCCAAAATAAGTACATGAAGCGTTAAAAGATGAGAATTGGGCTCCAGCCATGCAAGATGAGATGAATGCCTTGGAGAAAAATAAAACATGGGAGGTTGTTGATAGACCTGGTGGAAAGAAAACAGTAGAGTACAGATGGGTTTATGCCTTGAAATATAATTCTGATGGTATTCGAGAGATATAAGGCTCGGTTAGTTGCCGAGGGTTACACTCAGACCTATGGTATTGATTATGAAGAAACTTTTGCCCCAGTTGCAAAGATTAATACTGTGAGAGCTTTATTATCCCTTGCAGCCTTTTACAACTGGGATATGAATCAATTTAATGTGAAGAATGTTTTCCTTAACGATGAGTTAGAAGAAATCTACATGGAAATCCCACCTAGCTTTGACTCTATGGATGGAGGAAATAAAGTTTGCAGGTTAAAAAAGGCCTTGTATGGATTGAAACAGTCTCCTCGTGCCTGGTTTGGGAGATTTACTAAGGTTATGCTAGCCTTAGGATATAAACAGTCAAGGAGATCACACACTATTCTTCAAGCACTCCCAAGGTGGGAAGATAACTATGCTCCTTGTATATGTTGATGATATTATTATAATAGGTGATGATATTACGAAGAAACATTTTCTACAAGCACGGCTAGCCTCTAAGTTTGAAATTAAAGATCTTGGGAGATTGAAATATTTTCTAGAGATAGAGGTAACTCATTCAAAGGAAGGAATTTTTATCAGCCAGAGAAAATATGTCCTTGATCTTCTTAATGAAGCGGGAAAACTTGGGTGTAAACCCTCTAGTACTCCTATTGAGCAGAATCACAAGATGGGTTATGAAGAGGAGAGTCCTCCAGTTGATAAAAGACAATATCAACGATTAGTTGGGAGACTGATATATTTGGCTCATACTAGACCAGATCTTGCTTATGTTGTCAGTATTGTAAGTCAGTTCATGCATAATCCAAAAGAAAAACACATGCAAGCAATGGAGAAAATTCTTCAGTATCTTAAAGCCACTCTTGGTAAAGGACTGTTGTTTCGGCGTAATGGTGTAACAATCAAACCTCAACACAGCAGTTTCAATAAAGAAATACTTCTGCAATTATATTAATTCAACAACAAAATCCTATCAATTGTATCTCTGTGAACAATTAACAACAATGTATTTTGATTTGAAACAATATAACAAAATTACAATAAAATTGAATGGCAGAATATTAAAGATAGTCCAGGGGAATTATAAAGCTCCTGGTCTCTCCCATTCACCAAGAAGGTGCCCAAAGTCCTAGTTCCCAAAGATACCAATCTTCGTGTATTTTCCTCCTTCAAGCATGCACTCCCTCGTGTATCATCCTT